CTGCCATCAATTTTTTTTTTTTTTTAATAAATATTACATTTGCCCCCGTGACTTCATCCCAGTTTTTTTTTTAATTTGGCCCACTGTGAATTTCAGTATGACACCGCTGCCGTAAGTGTTGATTAAACCCAATGACAACCAATCCTGATGCTGCAAACAAGAGGAGACGGTTGCTATTGTCACAGTCTTTAGTTTTCAGGTCAAGAGTGTTTGTGTAGTCTGTGGCATATATGGAAAAAAAATGACACTAAGGGCTGCTCTGTGTTTCTGTTACCTTAGCTCCTCCACTGGTGCTCCCAGTGCTGCCTCCTGTGTTGCCACTGACAGCTCCTGTAAACCTGGCCTCCAGGAGCTCCTGTCTCCTGGGGTCCAGGCTGTGCAACTCATCCATGGGGCCTTGACGTGATGAAGCAGAGGAAGGGTATTATTTCTCATTTAGTGATAACTCGTAATTAGGAGCGGCAAGAAAAAATGTTTATACATAAATATGTATATGTGCATATATATGTATATACATATGTAGAGTATAGGCATATATATTTATACTGTATATACATAAATTGCATATGCGCATATATACGTATATACAGTACAGGCATATATATTTATACATATATAAATTTACACACATACTCACACATATATATATACATATACTGCAGACAGTGCTAGATGATGTGTGAGAGACATCTACACCTAAAGCGTATTCAACCATACAAGACCTGTATAAATACATTTAATGAAGACGTGACTATGGTAAATATATAGAGCGATACTGTAGATCTGAAATAAACACAACACAAGTAGCAAACCAAGAATTATATCTGAATTATATTTCATTATCAAATCAAATATTTGATCATAATCAAATATGATTAAAACTTTTTTTTCTGTATACTGCTGGGATGTTATGCAAGACGAAAATGAAAAAATGTCAAGCAAAACTTGCAAAACTATTATCTCAGATTACGCCAAAAATATGTAATGACTACATCTAGAGTTGGTGGATTTTTGTCATTCAGTTTCGTAGAAACAAAACTAATTGTATATGTTACACAACGCCAAGACCTGGTAAATGTATCACTTTGCACATTTTGAGTCACAAACAACCATTGTTGTCTGTCAGACGTGTCAGCAATGTTTTGTGACAACCTGTTTCCAGGGACTGACAAAATGTATGTACAGAGATGGAAAGAGAGATCATCTGACGCCTGCTGCTCTTGCTAGTGTTTGTTTTGTTACTGAACATGTTTCCTGTACATCATCCTCACATGGCCTCTACCTAAGCCCTACATAGGTGTTACTGACATTAGGAAACCCTGTCAAGAGAAACAGAGAGCAGACTACCAGGCCTTGTGTGAGGTTACATATGGACAAAGCAGAGGGTGCTGTTTTCTATGATAAGATAACGTTATATCTTATAGGTAATACACAATGTTTGTGTAGGTGGAAAGAAATTGAAGAATTTTGAGAATTTAAGTTATTTCATATACTACAGACAGGCTGCAACAACTCCCAGTTAATATCATTGGAGCGTTTCATTTGATTAAGAAAATTCAGTAAAAAAAAATAAAAATGTCGAAAACAAAAGCATCAAAATGGACAAAAAATCATTTAGAAGAGGCCTTTTGCGATTAATTTACAGTAGCAGAGTCATGCATTGTGTTGTATTTATGGACAGATGCAATGCAACGCTCTTTAATATAAGCTAAATACAGTACAGTAGCTATAGCTCCAGTAGCTGGAGTGGATTGTTTAAAAAACCGTCAGCAAAAACAACTCCTTTTTCTACTATAAATCTAAGTAAAGACAGCAAACATGGTGACAAATACAAAAAAAAAACAACAAAAAATGCAGCCATTACGATGCCTTTGTGCAAACATGACAGCCTACTGCTATTTACACTGGCCATCAACTGCACTGACAGCTGACGTTCGCCTTTCAATGGAAGGCATTAGTGAACTTGACATCCATGAAAAATGTCAGCCCAACACAGACGAGAAACTCTAACCACTCATTCTGAAATAATAAAATAAAAATACATTAAGAAGTGTATATATATATCGACTGAACACGGTAAGCTCCTATACCTTCCTTGCTCTTGGCGGTCGCCGTTATTTGTTGTTGAGAAATGGTCGGGGACGAGGAGAGCTGCGACCAAGATGGCGTCGCCTCCAAACTTCCACCACCACTTCCACTGTTACTTTGGACACTCATGAAGCCACTTTACCGCCGAGAGGAGCAAGCTCACATTCTGTTGCTGCTGTCGTTGCGGTTCACAAACTTGCGTGTCCATCGACACCTGCTGTAGCCGAGTAAAAATGAGACTTGGCGGAAGGATTATTTCCTCTCCTCTCTTAGACGGTTCTCTTGTCACATACTGAGCAGCTCCACCGGAGCTTCTTCCTCTTCTCCCCCGGATCGCTGACACGGATCGTGGATAACCTTCGCATGATGACCGCAGAGAGCGCGCTGCCTGTCTGTCAGTAGAAGCAGCATCCAGTTCACGAGAGCTGCTTTGATTCTCAGCAGGAGAGGCGGAGTTATCGCGAGGTCGCTGACTTCAGCGAGATGACACAAAGTACACACGCATACGTACAAACACTGATCTAGGATCACCGAGCAAGCCACAAAGAAGCCCGAGGTTCACAGAAAAGTACAGCAATGCTCGACCTGGGAGCAGCGGGAGCAAGAGCAGCAGTAGAAGAAGACCAGTTCAGTAGAATTAAAACATGGCGGAACGTTGATGTTATCTTGAGGGTGAAGAATAAATAAGCACACATACTTTTCATATTTCATACTTTCTCTGTTTTTGAGAGGGTAACTCAGATATAGTACATTATTTAATCTAACATTTACTATTACAATATAATGTAATGCGTAATTTCATACTAACTTAGCACTGTTAGTTATCTATATAGCTACATATTCTAATATATATTATCCATTCAGCCATCATCGTCCGCTTATCCGGGGCCGGGTAATATATATTATATTTTTTAAAATACAGGTAAAAAACACATAAATTACAGGTAAATACACACTTTATTTTTATTTTTTTAAGGGAATAGTGAGTAAATGAAAACTTGTATATAAAAGAATTTTTAGAAATATTTTTTTATTGACAGTCCTTTGAAAATTAAAATGTTTTGCGGTGTTTGCTATGCAATAGAGTCAATTTCCGTTTTTTTTATGTATGTTGTAATTGAAAACTTTTTTTTTTTGTTTTTTGTTTTTACAGAATAACATTTCTTTGGTCTTATTGTTTGCTAATTATTTATATTATTTTAACTTTTCCGTTGAAGTACAACAAAGACATAGAACGCAATTTATATTTAAATAACTGTTACACAGACCAGTAACTGTCACTGGTTTGTGTATCACTGTATACTGAGTACGCCCAGTTAACATTCTATACATGGTTTATGGTTAGCCCTCCTAAAAATACAATCTTTCATCTATGATATGTTCGTTTATAGAAAACCATAGTTTTTATATTTAATGAGGAATTTACTTAATTTACTCTCTAGGAAAAAAAAACAAACATTTTGATGCACTGCACCAAATTCTGAACAAAAGACCTTATAGACCAGACCACATCACTACCCTCCCCTGCAAGTGATATTTCAAGACTGAATAGCAGCATCCAGACAGTCCTAGCCACACACACGCACCCACAAAAACACACACATACACACAAAAAGCTATTCTTCCAGAACTCTGAGAACAGATCTGGTCAACGACAGTTAAATATTTGTCTTTTTCTTCAGACAGAGCCTCAGGAAATATATAAATATATATTACAATATATATTTGCCTCATTAGCCCCCAACATGTGACTCAACAACTAAAACCAGTTATTACTCAAGACATGGCCATACATACAAATATACACATATATATGTATATGAACAGAGTAAAATGTGTATTTTCCATATACGTATATGTATGGCATATATATATTTATCTATATATATAAATATATTTTTTTATTTTTATTTTTTACCTCTGTGGAAAGTACTGTTGAGGCACACAAAAGTGCACCCGGATTGTTGTAAATTAAAGAAAATGAAAGTTAGGCTAAGCTAAGAGTAACGACGCACAGGAGTGTTTTAGCATTCGTCTGTCTGTCAAAGCCCCCGTTCCACTTGCAGTCGGGTTGCATCAGGAAGCAGAGCGATGCACGAAACGGCCACACTGCACATCAGATGCACCTGCCCATGGTAACCTAAATTTTTTTTTTTTTTTTTTTTTTTTTGGTCACACGGTTTCCATGGTAACTGGCAGGCAATGAGGATAGCGCAGACAGGTAGTCTTCTGTACAACAACAATACCAATACTGCACTCAAAAATAATACCCACCACACCCCCCACCCCCAAGAGGGAGATATAAAGATTATATTCAGTTTCAAAATGAAGGTAAAAGTTCAAAGAAATGAAGAAAACTCTTTTTTTTCTCTCACATGTATTTATTTCACTTAGGACAAATATGATTGTTAGTACTGACTGTTACGTGGAATACACATGTTTTAACCTCATTGATGACAGACAGAGATTCACAGGTAACTCTTGTCCATGAACTTGAAGTGAGTCATTACAAAATGAATTATTAAACGTACTCTTTGTTGACTGTACAAACATTCAAACAACAAATAAGCAGTTAAAGGCCACCATCTAAAAAGAAATTTTACATTCAAGTCTTTCCCATAAGTTAAAAAAACGTTGGCACACAGTTAAGCTTAATTACAAGAAAAGATAATTGAAGAAAATAAGAAATTGCTTGATCAATACAACAGGAAAAAAAAAAAAAAAAAACCAAAACTCTTTTGTGATTAAAACCTTATAAATAGACAATTTGCCTCTATAAAAAAGTCACATGATGACACGCACGCAGCTAGTCTGGTTTGCTAGGCATATTAAAACCACCGAATATTTTTACGCTACATGTCAATTGATTATAAACTTAAATTACATACAAAATGTTTTACAGACAAAAAAAAAAAAAAATCACAGCACATGTCTGTAATAGGCCATTCAATTAACAGCAGAACAGACCTTCTCGGCTGGTGCCTGAGTAAAACGTCAAAGCTAAATTCTATTTAAAATGTATTTTTAACCACGTTAAAATATTTAAAAAAAAAAAACAAACAACAATCAGAAATCACCCATTTCTAAATGAAACTGGGGGCATTAGTTTTTTATCAAATTATATATTCACACAACGCCGTTACAAATCTCATCTCCGTTGTTGCAAATGCTACATTAGGAAACCCACCCCTTTACCTGTGGGTGAGACGTAAAACAACCACGGGAGTTACACTTACACAAGTTGAACTCGAACGCTGAAGATAACTGACCTTGCTCTGATCTAATCCCTGATTTCATCATTACTTCCTTAGTGATATTGATCATCATCAAACGTCAAATTCGCTTAATTAACAAACAGAAAATGTGCAATCTTATGCTTCCGCAATTCCACCGTCCCTCGGAGATTAAAATTCCATGTCATCGACATCTGACCTCTTGAGGACAGTGCTGTACTTCAGTGGAGCGCCGTCGGCTTTAAGCTGCACCTGCACCAACGTAAAGAGTGAAATAATCTGGGGGAAAAAAAAAAAAAAAAGAACAGTTAGCAACAGGATGCATTTACTATCTGCTGTCATCATTTCCTTTTCATTTATATATATATACGTCCTTTAACTGAAACGTGGATAAAGTGCGAAGAGGAACTGAACCACATTCAAACACTTACATATGTACACACAAAAAAAAAAAACAAAAAATCTGTTTGGGTAACACAACAGTAATGATCTGGACACGGGCCCGGCCCAACAGATTCTGCCATAAAGCGGTGAACAGTTTCACGTGCCATGGGGAAAATATGGCCCCACTTCAGACCTAGTGGTGACGCAGTTATAGTGCTTAATAAAAACACAGCTCTGTAATGGTGGGGCCACTCCATCTGATGGTACAGGCTAAAGTGGAGCTCTGCAACAAAGAGTGGCAGTCATGGAGTGAATGAAGTGAGCGAGCAGGTGGGTACAACAAAATAGATGAAGGAGCCTCTTGTGCACTGTCAAAGAGAGCAGTGGAGTGTGTGGTTAAAAGTTGCTGCTGTGTAGGTGGAAGTCAGTGCCATGTTCAGTTTGGTTAAGCAGGCAAGGGAGGAAGACACACGGCCCAGAGTCACAGCCAAAAGCTTCAAGCTATATACTGTATGCATATATATATGTATATATGTGTATATATATATATATATATATATATACACACACACATATATATATATACATGCATACATACATACATATATATATACACATACATGTACACATATATACATATATACATATATATACATAAACATATATATACATATATACATACACATATATATACACACACATATATATACACACACACATATATATATACACATATATATACATATATATATATATATATATATACACATATATAGACCCAATGTAGCATATGGACAACATATGGACCAAAACCGGTCCACTAGGGGGTTAGTGATGTTTTGTCAATCTATATTACATTAAATATGAATATTTTTTTTATGTTCTTGTATTTATTTGCAGGAAAACAAAGGGGGGAAAAAAAACATGCATCAATTGTTATTTATAGGTAATTATGTTATGATTGTAGTGGTCCGGCCCCTGAACCAGAATGAGTTTGACACCCCTGGCCTAAAGTCTTCACGTCAAACATTTCCAATTCTGCTCAATCTATTTATAAAGAAAGAAAGATTGTTCTTAAACCCTAAATTCCTTTTCCCCCCACTGCATGGTGTGATGACTTAATTACAATCAGCAAGGAAAGGATTTATGTCAAGGGGATGTAAAAAGTAAAAACATGGGAATAAAAAAAAAGCTTCATTATCGTCTGCGGTTCTCACCTGCTCAACGTCTCCGGAATCCTCCGACTTCCAGACGAGAGTCAGCTCGGACTTCTTTCCCACTTTACGGTGGGAAAACGTCCTCAGGCCTTCAATAGACTGCGGATAAAAAAAAATTTGGTTTAGAAATAATCTTGGGAGCTACGTCAAACCTCGAATGCTGATGTGAACGATACTTTAAAATACACGGTGAGAAAAAAAAAAAACCAAAAAAAAAACCATACGCACCTTGCAGTAGATGCGTTTCTGCACACCGTAGCGAAGGACAAGAACGTCAAAAGACTGATCCAATACTCCCATCACTATTGCCTCAGAGTCCAGGGGCCCACACTCCTGTACACAATATTATCAATTTTTTACACACGATATTAATCATGGTAGACGCCGATTAGACCCCTGTCAAATTTTAGGACCCACGAGTCAAAAAAGTTTGCCCACGCCTGGGTTAAAGCCGTCGGACATCCCTTGAAAAAATTTTTTTTCCTCAACTCTGGCACAAACCTTAACAAAGACTCCGAAGAAGAGCTCCGAGCTGAGCTCCTGGACTCGCTTTGACGCCGTCTTCTTGTCGTTACAGCGCGACGCTTGCATTTCCACTTCTGCCATCGAGAGGCTTATGTGAGGCCCACACTCTGCATACATACATACATACATACATAAATACATCGGATCAGGGACAACGGCCTCGTTAGGGGGGACATGAAAAGTAAGACAAGTAAGACAAACTTGAGAACGGCGTAACTACGTACTCAGCGAGGACGCCAGCAGACGGTGCACGATGATGTCAGCGTAGCGTCTGATTGGCGACGTGAAGTGCGTGTAGAGAGGAACGTTGAGGGCGTAGTGCGTAAAAAACTGCTTGTTCTTTAATACACCGGCGCAGAAGTACATTGCCATCTGCGGGAAAACAAAAAAAAAAAAAGATTTTACCATTTGGGATTGCAACTCGAACATCAAACAAAACAAACATGGCAGGTTACTATTTTGCGTCACGATAAAAGATTAAATACAAATAAATACACAGCAAAAATAATAATAATGTCTTTCTGCCAATGGAATCGCACTGCATACAAATAAATACACAGCAAAAATAATTGTATTTTTGACTGGAATCTCACTGTGCAACACAATTATCTTCTTTGCTAGCAGCAGATTCTCAGTACAGAAAAATAGCTTACCTGCATGGGCCTGGAGCACAAGTGGGTTAGAACTTCTTTTCTGGCGCTAGAGTATTCGTCATCACCAAACGTGGTGTTGAGACTCTTCTGCATGAAGTAAAACGGAATGTTTTGTAGGAATGAACATACGTACTCTGGCAGTGCAACATCCAAACTCGGTTATTAAAAAGAGTTTAACCCTGAGCTACGTCATAACAACTTACATTCAGTGCTCCTGCAGAGGAAAGATCAATGTTGATGCCCAGCTGATCGCACAGTTCCTGTAGCTCGTCCACCATTTTGGCTTTGGGAGAGGGGTGGCGTCGGAGCAGAGCCAGCTCTGGAAATTTTCCGTAGATGTGATGAGCAGTGGCCATGTTGGCCAGTAGCATGAACTCCTCTACCAACCTAAAAGGTGGATAGCAAAATGTCTGGCTTCAAGCAACATGTACAATACACGACATAGAAACCTCTGAAGATGTTTTGTTCACTCACTTGTTACTGTCTCTGTACTGGTAAACATAGCAGCCCTGAGGCATCATGGTCTCCCTGTCCAGGGTAAAAGCCAGTTTCATCTGAAACACAGAAGAAGAAGAAAAATGTTTCTTTCATGAAATAGATAGTATTTATCTAAAGGTAAAACTCGTTCTGCCAACATGTGAGATGTGGCATTGATACGTTTATCAGATGTTAAGGAGGGCCTGATAAAGTGTTGTCTGCCGCATATATATAAATATATATACATATATATACACATATATACACATATACATACATATATGGACATGTACATATACATACATATATTATATATATGCATGTATGTATATATGCATATATATATACATAGATACATATATATATACATATATATATACATATATATATACATATATATACATATATATACATACATATATATATATACATATATATATACATACATATACATATATATATATACATATATATACATACATATATATATATACATACATATATATATGCATGTATGTATATATGCATATATATATACATAGATACATATATATATACATATATATACATACATATATATATACATACATATATATATATATATCATACAACTGTAATTTCCGGACTATTGAGCACACCCACTAAATTAAAAAAAAAAAAAAAAAAAAATTTGTACATATACTGTATATAGGCCACACTTCTCTATTAGCCACAGGTGTCCATGTTGTAACATGGGATATTTTACAATTAATTAATTAAATAATATGCTTCCCCCCCCCGAACAGCGCCTGTAACACGGCTGGTTACACAGTAGCTCTTTCCTGCTTCGGTGCCCCGTGGGGGGAAAAAAAAAAATATGGCGGCTAATACTACGGAAATGACTGTGTTTTATACAGCATGGTCCTGAAGACTTTGAACTCAATCCAAACCAACCTGGTCGAGTCTCAGGGCTCCGTCTGTAAAGCGTTGAGCTCTGAGGTTCTTGGCGATAGAGTGCAGGTCGAGCACAGCCCGATGGATCTCGTCGATGGGGTGGAGAGGATCGACGGGTGGAAGCTCCGCGGCTGAGAACATTTTGTCCGGCGCCTCGATCATGCACTGAGCGTGGTCGTAACTTAGCTTCACGCAGGAGGAAATCACCGAGCGACCGAACCACTCGCTTAGGATCTAGAGACAAGGACCGTGAGCTAGCAGGGCATTTGCAAAAGGTACCCGGGCGATTGTTGGATTCATCCGGGGACAATCATTTCAACGATCATACCTTTCCCTCGGGTGTGATTTTCCAAATGACAGAGAAGGTGAGTCGGTCGGTGAGAGGGTTGAGACTGCACAGCTCCTCACAGAGCAGGCCGGGTAACATGGGAATCACCTGTGCATCAACAGGACACGAACCAACTTAGAAATATTGAAAAAAAAAAAAAAAAAAAGAAAAAAAAAATCGACAAATCTGAGAGTTAAGGAAGTATAACGCACCTTTTGAACCAGATACACGCTGGTTGCTCTTTGACTGGCGATGTCATCCAACGCATTTCCTTCCTCCACAAAATAACTAACGTCAGCAATGTGGACTCCGACCTCAAAGTTCCCTGTGTTCAAAAAAAATTACAATTAAAATTATGCAGTTAAACGAGTTCTTTCCCAAGCCTAAAGAGCAAAAAAAAAAAAAAAAAAAAAAAAAAATCCCGAGGTAATTTTATTTTATCAATCAGTGACAACAAACGCTTACCATCCGGGAGTCGTTTACAGGACAGAGCATCGTCCAGGTCTCTGGCAGTGGCAGGGTCAATTGTGAAGATGCATTCTTTCCTATGAATAATAACAATAAAATCATTTGGTTAAATTACATTGAATTGACGTATAAGCTACTAATAAGACTGAAAAATAAAACTCTTAACCATAAGTTTTAAGGCTACACAATTTCTTAAAGTCTTAATTTGACTGGACTTTACTGGACTTGAAGGAGACAAAGAAAATGTATAATTTTGTTTTTTTTCTCTCAAAAACATTACAACTTTTTTTTTTTTTCTGTAGCACTTTCACATTATTCTCAAGAAAATATACAACTCTAGCGTCGTAATTTTATTTTATTTTTTTTCCTTAATGTCGGCCTATGCTACACAAGACAGAGAAAAACCTGTCCCGTGTCGGCCTATGCTACACAAGACAGAGAGAAAAACCTGTCCTGGGTTTTTAAAAAAATTTTTTTTTTTTTTTTCTAAACTTACATCCAATGTATCAAATCATACACCAAACAATGTCATAAATAAAACTTTTGGTTTTTGTTTTTTTTACGTATCAGGCTTTAAATACCTAAATTGTTTACTTTCCAATGAACAACACAACATGGACACGTTAGTCCGAATACAAACAAACCTCAGATCTCTTCTCTTTCGTATCTCTTCGGGCGGAATCTTCCAAGGCAGGTTCTTGGGGAGACAGTCCAAAACCTCCTGAGAGAACTCGGAAAAGTCAACATCGTACTCCATCAGGATGCCCTCCGTCTCTGGCTCGATTTCTCCCGCTTGACCGAGAGTCTTGGCGAGTCGACTGAGGGGGACGACGAAAAGAGAAAACCGGTTTTCGAGACGGTCACAGAGGTCCCGAAAAAACAGAGATGAGGAATCTTAAAACTAAGCTAAATACACTTCCATACGCACCCTTCCGCAAAAGTGCTGTCGTCCGACCAGTTGGTGATATAACAGATGAACAAAGTGTTGACGTAGTCCCCTGGACGGAAGCTGAAGTCGTGAGGACAGTCCGAGAGAGGGACATTAATCCGTGGAATCCGATGGTCCACCGGGGAGAACATCGCAAAGGGCTTGTCGGGAAGGACCTTTAAGAAGCCCGTCGCGGCTCTCGAGTGTTTCCTCTCGACTATGTACACCACCTGCCGGACGACATTGTTACATACGTAGTAACCAATCACATCGCGGGTTGTAACTGGAGGACTTTGTAAACGTAACTAGAGCGATCCCTTCTCCTAACGCGCTAGTTGCGTTCCAAGACCCAAAAAAAAAATAGTAGAGGAAGTAGAGGCGAGATAGTTGTTGTTGTGTTTACGTATACAGCGTATTAACCCTTTATGATCCTGAGGAAGTAGAGGCGAGATAGTTGTTGTAGTGTTTACGTATATAGCGCATTAACCCTTTATGAACCAGTGGCCCTGCGTCCAACTTACCAGTCGAACAACAACAACAACAACAGTGGCCCTGCGTCCAACTTAGGTCATTACTCTACATGAATTAAATGCTCACCATATATATACATATATATCACGCATGACATGCGGAAATTAAAAAAAAAAAAAATTTTACGTAAAAAAAAAAAATCGCGATATAGTGAAAATGTCGCCAGATCGGATTCGGGTTTCGCACGCGCGCTACAGAGCCTCATCTAAAAATCGTGATCCGATTAGTTTCAAACCTGGACATTAGTAAAAACAGAGATAAAATAAAAAAAAAAAAAAAAAATCTCTCACTTTTGCAGTTTTTTGCAGTTTCTCCCCGTTGGATTGTGTGGGCGAAGGGTCTTCGAGCAATTTCTCGGTTTCTGTCGGAGCAGGGAAGGCACAGTTGTGGTCACGCATCGTCTACAATGACTCCAAGACGGGGACCATATTTAACATTCGAACATACCTGTGGCGTTCAAGGATACATTTTGAATTTTTCTCAGCAGGTCGTTGTGGCTGCCACACTGGTCCTCCAGAACACTTTGCTGGGTCTTATTGACTTTAGTTTGGGCTGCGTCTTCTCTCCGGCTCTCTATCTCACCTGGGCCTTCACAGTCACTATCAGACCTCACCACCTAGAGAGAAGTGACAGTTATCGTCTGAGGTTTTTTTTAAAAAAATTTTTAAATTTTTGATGAATTTGGAAAATAGGAAAAATACACAATGTTGCACAAAAACAAAGGGGGAAAAAATATATATTATAGATAATTATGTTAGAATTGTACTCGTTCTGCCCACCTGACGTCTAATTGGTTGTAGCAGTTGTATGCGGCCCGTTAGCCAAAATTAGTTTGACACTAAGAGAGAGAGTGTCAAACAAAAGGCCCGGGGGGCCCAAAAGCGGCCCGCTTGGGTGTTCAATCTGGCCTTTTTTTTTTACACATATATATATACACATATACATATATATACAGTATGTGTATATATGTATATATATGTGTAAAAAAAAAAAGGCCAGATTGTGTATGTGTATATATACATAAATACATGCACATATATATACATATACACATATATATACATATATACACACATATATACATAGATACACACATATATACACATATATATACATATATACAAATATATACATATATACACACATATATACATAGATACACACATATATACACATATATATACATATATACATACATATATGCATAAAAAAGATCTGAAAAAATTTTTTGAAAATAAGAAAAAAAAAACAACGTATGGGATATTTTTTTGTAAAATCATATTTCAATAAATATGAATAAATAAAAATAAATAAACAAAGGGGGGGGGGGGGGAAATATGGACTTGAGGCTTGACATCTAATTGGCTGTAGTCGTTGTATGTGACCGGTGAGCCAAAATGAGTTTCACACCCTGATCCCGTAAGCCGAGTTTACCTTCCACTGGTCTCGAGGTAGGACTTGCACGACCACGATGTCTCCATTCAGCGCTCTGTTCCGAGCTACAATTCCGTCCAGAAATATATCCCATGAGTCATCCTGCGAACGTAAGGAATTACATCGGCTACTTTCCTATAGTCTGGCATAAATCGTATGAACAGCGGCAAACGTTTAAATGACTTACGGGAGACGGGATGAAGGCTTCCTGGTATTTTTTAGGGTTGATTCGTAACTGTCCCTACGGGAAACGAAATAAAAAAGGAAATCAACAGTTGTTCAAAATTCCTAATGTACTTTTTGAATGGATATTTACTTGTATTAGATACCAGACAGGACTGATAAAGAGTTGCTTGAAAGATTTAATTCTAACTGAACGAATTGCCTACCTGGAGGAGTTCTCCTCTTTTCAGGCCATGGGAAACCTCCTCTGATGTCATGTACAGTTCAAACACTTGTTTCTTGGAGCCTCTGCCTCCTCTGTTCTTACCTTTGTCTGCAAACGAACTCGTAGTTTCGGCTGCAAATGCATACAGAAACGTGGGATTAAAAAAATTCGATTATTAAAACAAAACAAAACAAAAAAAAATTCGATTAAATGACATTAGGAAAAAAAAAAAAAAATTCTTTCTTTGACATTTTTCAGAAAATCATTTACAGATGTTCTTCTTCTGCTGCATCTTGTCTTTCCATTGAGGCGCTTTGAGCTTGGACCTTGTGTCTTCGTCGTGCTGGGCGGGATTCTTTTTCTTTGGCTTCTTTGGCTTCTCTTTCTCTTGTTCACTTTTGCACGCTTTGTTTGGAGACTTGGCATGACCTTCGGATGGAGCAAAGCCTTTGCTCGAGTCCTTTTTCTTCCTCTGCTGCCCATCGCGTTTGTGCGAGTCGCCCGGTGTCGGGGAGGTCAACTCACAAGACACGACGACATCTCCTTCACGCGTCATGCTGGTGGTGGCGTCCCCTGCTGGTACCCCGCGCCGCCCTTCCGAGTCTTGCGAAGCAAAGCGACTGTTGAGCTTCGCCATGCGTGGGGACAAGTAACTTTCCTCGACCTTATTCTTTAGAGAACAGGGAGAGAAATCGCTTGAATCAGAGAAATCGTGGGCAACTTCCTCTCTGCTCTGCGGAATGTTGCGCGCGGGGCTCGGGGCCGGTAGACAAACGTTTGGCGAACTTTCATCACTGCGATTTGACAGGTCTTTCGCGTACTGCTCTAAATACGAGCTAAACTTGCTGCTTCGATGCTCCCGCAAAAGTCTGGCATAGGCATCTTTCTTAGGCGCGGTAGACTTCTTCTGGCTACGTTTCGACTCTTGAATCGGGTTAGGCTTCTTAGAATGTTGCAGGGGATCCATATGGCAGTCCCTAATAAATGCTGGAAAAAAAAAAAATCAAATCAAATTATTATTATTATGAACACTATGTTCAGTGCAGCATGAGTATAACTGCTTATTTATTATTACTATTATTATTATTATTATTTACAATAGATCATTTTCTTCCTTCCCCACTAAATATTTGTGAGCTTCGTAGAGGTTATGTTAGCTTTGTATTGTGGTGATTGAAGTTTATCTCTTCTACCCTTTGGATCAACTTGTCACAAACACTTGATTTGACTTGATGTGTGACTTGTATTTTCTACTTGTGTTTTCTGATATGAAATCCCTGTTCAATTGCCAATGTTTACATAAAAAAAAAAAAAAAAACAACATTCTGGTGTAGATTTAAGTTCAAAGGACCAAAGACACGTGTTTGTTGGTTGGACGGTTGTTTGCCTGACAATGTTAAGTTAAATGTCCATTCATTGTATGTAAGCTTCACATTTAAAAATACAGAGACACTGAAACAGACTACAGTGTTAAATGTTTACGATTCCTTAACGTCTTTTTTGTCGTTTGGGTCTGGAATTAGCGTAGCGTTCATTCCAAATGAATTAACATCAACATTCCTCCATTAATGATATTTCTGCCCAAAAATGACTGTGCATTAAAACCTACTGTAGTCATTCATGTCCGTTCTAACGAGGGAACCGTTTAAAGGTAAAAGGATATTTTTGTAGTGTAGTTTGTTTAAACACATAACCGGCGACATAAATAATATCTCAAAGAATGGGGAGCTGAATATCCAAAACTTAGTTGTAGCCATAGTTAACAACTACAGCTAACCGGTATTAGCAGTGAGACGTTAGCATTGGCAGGCTAACATCAGCTAACAGAGATTGTTGTCACTAAAACAAAAACGGGGGGGAAACGACAGGGTTGCATATATAGTGCTGCACACGAATCTATTATTTATGTCACCAAATATTTAGAAATTACCTTGTTAATGGTGTTAATACCCAGTTTTCGCATAGAAGAGGAATCGGCAGCTGCGTTCACTTGCTCTGATTGATGGCAACGGGGTTACGTTCAGGTACCGCTGGAAATTTACAATACGTAATCAATTCGGGATAAACGAAACCGAATAATGTGAATACTAAAAAAAGGACGCCTATATGTTATTTCATTAAGTATAAAGCATACTAAAACTTGTGTTAAGTGGGGTAGTTTAATTTTTATTTGAAATGGAAAAACAAAAAACAAAACAACGAAAACCCATCCTCCCTTATTCAGATGAATGGTCCCAAAACAACACACCACATGGTGGCGTATGTTGTTCTGGTAGGTTTGCCAAAAGCAGTAAGAAGCTGTAAATCAACCAAGTGTTATTGACTTTTAATCCCAGAGATCACTGAGCCAAAAAACAAATAATAAAGTAGCCTACAGTTAGCAAAACAGTAAAAAATTAAAATGGGCCTCGAGTCTCTGTATAGTCAGGAAACAGTTATACAAGAAGTGTCCAGCAGAGGGTAGCAATGGCTCATGCTGTGAGAAGCACGGATATATCCATAATTTAATGCGTTCAGTTTAACTGTTTTTGGACTTGAGGAGAAAGCCAAAAGCACCTGGAAAAAAATAATTCAGAATAAGAAAACAATAATACTTCATTCGAATACACGCGCTCATACTCGTACTTATACTTTTGTCGGCTTAACTCTTATGGGTATTTTATCTAAGTAGGTCAACAGTGTCAGCAGTTTCGAGGTATTTTAAGTCGGTGAGAGTGGAGCAAGTTATGGTATGTACAGTAATATGTGTTCTGTTACAATACAAGCAGGTTAATAATTTAAAAAAAAATTATTTATTCCATCACTACTTTGGTTACTATGTTGTTATTGAGAAGAAAATAAAACTCGCCCGGACGCAGGTCCTCCCTGTAACGTCACAAATTCCCGCCCTTCAACTACAGCGTATGGGTTGATATGAGAGTATCCCCAAAATGGTGAAGCGTGTTAGAAGAGCTCGCAAATGGCGCAACCATTTACTCACAAGGGACGATAACTAGCCAACGATAATTATCTTATTAACATTTATTTTAGTATGGTTTGTTAGTGTAATTTTTCTAAATTTGAAGTTTGTGGTTCTGTTGTAAAACTAAAATAACAGCTTATTTAATTTTTGTTTTTTTTTTGTCTCTTAAAATATACGTCACAGCCGACTGCTGACACTAGTCCGTGCGCAATTTATCAATAAAAAAAAATGGCTGCATTTTCCCTGTCCTCTATGCGTTTTGTTTGGTTGCACGCACGTACACCGCTGCGTATACTTTACGTACCGGTATAATACCGGCCTTCCACTTTACTGCATGAAAAAGTATTGGTACTAGACACAAATAAAACCTCGTGTCAGTTTGTAAAAAAAAAAAGTATCGGGACAGCCCTGCCTTTATTGCTTGCACTGTGCGTACTGCAGTTGGTTGTCACCCCGGATCTTGTTACAGCGACACCCTGTGGCTGTAATTGCGTCAATGCAACTCACCAATCAGTCTGAGCCATGCCAGGAGGAGGTGGTCCACGGTTACTAAATTTTCTTGTAATAAATTTAGTACTGACTGTTAAACACTGTATCAAACACACTTGGCATCTCATCAAGCTCTAGGAATACCAGCCTCGTCCTGGCATGGACTTTATTTTCTCTTATTATCTGTGTTTATGGTATACACACATGTACATTGAAGTTTTTGATACAATTTTTGGAGGAGTACAAAACAAAAGGTGGTGGGGGTGGAGGAAAAAAAAACAAAACTAATCATTCAAAACACAGTGGGTGGTGCAAAATAATGCATATAGACACAGTTGAAGAATTAACCAAATTAATATACAGCCTGAATCATCACAAAAAAAAAAAAAAAAAAAAAAATCTAGAGGTGGGGGTTGTTTTAACTAAACAGTCGGTTACATGGTTGCGGATGGACAAAGTAACCTAGTGTTATGTGTAGCAGTTCAGGAAAAATTGAAAAACGAGCGCGTCCGATGTCACCGACGAGCGAGGAGAACCGCACGTTGTCAACAATCAGTCGATGAGCAGAAACCTCCGTGTACAACCGCGACATCCCTTCACCCTCGAGCCTTCTGACCTGTGTCTGATCTCGACGCAGCCACGTGCCTGTCTCACTTGGCCAAATAAATAGAACACAAAACAAAAAAAAAACGAAAAAAAAAAAAACAACACAGAAAAAAGAGAGAGAGAGAGAAGAAGAAACAGGAACCCATTTGGTTTTGATGGCAGACGCTTCTTTCTTTCCCGGTTATGATGATGCCGGTGTTACGTCTGTGGGAGCTGAGGATTCCGTGGTGATGGCTTCGGTGGATGGCGTGGAGTCGGGGATGCTAGCTGCCAGTGTGGGTGTGACTGTAGTTGTAGCCGCTGGGGCGGCGGTGGTGGTGGTGGTGGAACTGGGTATGAAAGCCACTGCCTGAGGCAGCAGAGGAGGCACCTGGGTGGGCAGCACAGTGGACAAAGGCGGGAAAGGGGCCAGACCCGGCAGGTTGAGGGGTGGAAGAGGAGCCAGTGATGGGACTAATAGAGGGAAAAATATGTTAAAAATGTATGATGTTTTTTTTTTTTTTTAGTAAGAGTCATATACATTTCACATTTCAACATGGCTGACTATTGAGTTACAAAGGGGGGGCAGCTGAGGCCGAGTAGGGAGCAGACATCTTGGTTTAGTGAAAGGTCACAAGCAACGTTTTTTAGGCGCACTGCTGCCATCTACTGGACTAAATTGTGTAGTCTCAAGGTATGACCTTAAAAAAAAAAATTAAAGATTTACCAGTTGTTCCCGGTGGTAAACTGCTGGTGGCCGCTAGTGACAACGCACTGAGGTCCGGGAGTGGCAGGTTTAGATTGGGGAGATTGGGAAGTGGCGGTAACCCCGGGAGAGTCATCAGACCTGCACAAAGACAGAATTCCACAAAGAAAATTAATTTATTAAAAAAAAAAAGACTCTTATTTATTTATCAATTTAGCATTACAGCTCAAGACGGTCAGTCAAGTCACTCGGTACTTCAAATAGTGGGGTTGGACAATCACCCACCTGGTAGTGTAGTGGCAGGAGTGAAACCTGCAGCACCCGGATTCAGTGGAGCAAGGGGGTTGAAGGACTGACCGGTGGCTGAGGGAAGGAGGGGAACCGTGGGCAAACCTGGGTTTGAGCGAGAAAAGAATTTCCGGCTTTAATATCTCATCATCAATGACCAAACGTAATCGTGTGATTTGAAATTATTTTGAAATACAACTTCCAAGAACCTGTTTGTAGCTCAGTGGGCATCGTGGGCGGGGCTGCATTGATGGGCATGCCGGACAGGGAATTGTCGAGACCCGTAGGGGCGACAGATGAAGGAGGAGGGGTCACTGCGGAGAGTTGAACCTGAAGGAGGTAAATGAAAAGAGTGAGGACGAGGAGGAGGAGGAGGAGGTGCAGCTGTTCATTAGATTTATTAAAATATATAATTTTACATGTTTGTTATTTTCACACTGACAGCCGCTAGAGGGCGCTCTAGGATTGTGTTCCGGTATCTGCTACCTCTGTACCACTGAAAATTTACATGTTTGTTATTTTCACACTGACAGCCGCTAGAGGGCGCTTTAGGTTGTGTACTAGTATCTGCTACTCCTGTACCACTGAAAATTTACATGTTTGTTATTTTCACACTGACAGCCGCTAGAGGGCGCTCTAGGATTGTGTTCCGGTATCTGCTACCTCTGTACCACTGAAAATGTACTCGTTTGTTATATTGACGCTGACAGCCGCTAGAGGGCGCTCTAGGATTGTGTTCCGGTATCTGCTACCTCTGTACCACTGAAAATTTACTTGTTTGTTATTTTGACGCTGACAGCCACTAGAGGGCACTCTAGGATTGTGTACCAGTATCTGCTACTCCTGTACCACTGACAATTTACATTAGTTATTTTTACACTGACAGACACTAGAGGGCACTCTAGGATTGTGTACCAGTATCTGCTACTCCTGTACCACTGAAAATGTACTTGTTTGTTATATTGACGCTGACAGCCACTAGAGGGCACTCTAGGTTTGTGTACCAGTATCTGCTACTCCTGTACCACTGACAATTTACATTAGTTATTTTTACACTGACAGACACTAGAGGGCACTCTAGGCTCGTGTACCAGTATCTGCTACTCCTGTACCACTGACAATTTACACGTTTGTTATTTTTATACTTTTACAGCCACAGTGTTTTGAACTCAATTTATATGAGGATACATTTAGATTAAAAAAATCCTAATTGTTCAAAAGGGTTTCTTCACACTGCTCAGTGCTCTAGCCTCTGAATATGGAAATGTTTTTTCTGACCTCAGTGAAACCATCCTTCAGTAGACTGACATTGTCACTGGGGTTACTCCCAGGGAAGCTGATCTTTCTCCCCTCTTCAAAAGGTCTGGTGGGAATCCTGTGAAGGTAGCCATAGCCAATGCCACACCCGAGGCTGAAAAACATAAGGGAAAATCCTAGTTACACGCCTTTAAAATGAAAACCTTATATAAAAAAAAAAATTCCTTATTATAAAGGGACACAAATATGACATTGAAAATGCAGATGACGTTCGCTTCTACCTGCCCTCTCCTCCCCATGAACTGTTGGGCGTGATGACCACCTCTCTGCAGTTGTCCGTGTCCGTGTTGTACACATACAGCTTCAGCCCTTTCATGTCGTGACTGTCTATTACGGAGAACAGGTCCTCTGACTGCAACGACCAGACAAATAACAGTAAGGAAGGACAGACATGTCGTGACAGCCATCAACGTGACATCCAAGTGAGGATGCTCTAAAACCTGATAAACGACCTCATTCATAACGGTGTCTGCTCCGATTATGTAGTCGGTGTGGGGCCTCAAACCTGCAAGGGCCGCTGGGGAATTTGGCTCTACTTCCTGTCAAAAGAGGAAGCGGAAGGGTGAGTTCGGATGTGTACAAGATGGGTCACAGAAAACATGAATAAAAACACAAATTGGGGACTGCAAGACCCGCCTACCAGCACGTGCCAAACGTTCTCATTGGCTCCTTCAAAGCTGCAAAACCGAATGGAGACACCCAGCAAGCCCTGTCCTCCCCACAGGTTACTGGGTGTGACGGTGGATTCGCGCAGCTGGAGAGTCTTTGAGGAATAAACCAGCATCTTCACGGGTTTCTCCACACTACACTTTAACAAGTCCTTTAAAGTGTCATTATCTTTGTTCTGAAAAAAAAAAAAAAAAAAAAAAAAAGATTTAAATCATTTTTATCAATAATGCAGGGCAACTGAGTGAACGATGCTTGTTACTGACAACATGTGCTTATATTTATAATTAAATATTGCTTTAAATGTCAACCAGCTTAGATGACTTTTTTTTTCCCTTACCAGTCTCGTGTTATTGATTGAGACAATGAAGTCAAAGAAGGGCTCCAGTCCTGCACGGTGACCAGGAGAGTTCTCTTGAACCTGAATATAAACAAAAAAAAATGAGAGTATAAGCTGCTGCTGGACTGTCATAGGCATATTTTCATTAAAAATTAACTAAGATATTCTCAAAAGGGTATGAATTTTAACTGCTCATTCAATGCATGCGTTTCTGTTTACTATGAGCATCAACATCAACCTTAGCCCTTCCCATTTTAACAACAGTAACCTCAGTGCCAACTCCAGTTAGGTAGCAATAAAAACGTGCTCTTAAAAACAAACAAACAAACAAAAAAAAACGTATTAATGTCGCCATAATATAATATAAAGCATGCGTCCGATACAGAATGGCCTTTTGGTAAAGGTTATTGAGTGCAGCTTACGCAGCTACACTTAGCATTAGCGCTAGTACAAACACTCGCGAGATGCTAGAAAACGAACATTAGCGTTCGAAAATTGGTACCATTAAGTCGCACATTTACACGGCTGTTCTTACACGCTGTTTTCATAACATGTTGTATGTGTGTGTGTGTTAAGCTGACGACGGTCCAGGCATTCAACCTCGGCCTCTCATCAACACACAGACCGGCGAAGACTTCGCCGCTGCTGAAATGCTAAGCTAGCTGTCAAGAGCAGGAAGTAAAGGACAAAAACAAACCCTGAGGACGTGATATCCCTCCGAACCTCCACCTGGTATTTCCACACTCTGAGAGCCTCCCATTCTGCAAAGCTCTAAAGTCTGTATCGGTATTTTTGGTTGCCAGCACGTTCAGTAAGAGTCAGCTACCTGAGAACGTCAACCCACCGGTACACGTCGCCAAGTGACTAGGGGTTGTGCGCACGCGCCGTTACGTGGCAGGAAATGTAACCCTTTCAAAATAAACATAAGCAACGCTGAGAGTTGTTTTTTGTTTGTTTTTTGTTTTGTCATTTATGTATTATGTGGTTACAGACCTGACGGTTATTGCACATTTGTTAATAAAGCAGAATTTCTAAAATAAAAATGCACAAAATAGATTTACAAATAGAACGAATTTGTTCTAATTTTTTTTTTTAATAACACAACCATTAATTGCAATTTATGCAATAAATGATAACTTTCATGTCCTCACTAATCCGGGAATATAAGGAAAGGATTGGTGCATGCTATTACACAGTAAAAAAATGTAATAATAATAATAATAATAATAATAATAATAATAATAATAATAATAACAATAATAATAATAATAACAATAATAATAATAATAATAGGCTGAGCCTGCAGAAATAAATAGTTAACTTATTAATGTTTTCACAAATAAATATATATATTTATATATATTTGCCCATTGCCTGCAATCTCTACATTTTTAAACGTTTTCTACTGTTTTGAAAAACCTTGGGAGAAAAAGAAGAACGTGCTTACACAGATTCACCGACAGAGGGCATTATAATCTCAGCATTCTGCATGATGAAGAACAGAAGCTGCACAAAAAACCACCCCCCCCCCAAAACAAAACAAAACAAAAAAAAAACAAACAAAACAAACAAACAAACAAAAAAAACCCCCGGCGCTCCTCAATATATTTTCAATATGTGAACAATCCTGCTGGTCATTTTTCAGATTCAGTGCCGAGGTTGAGAGTTCTGTAGGATCCTCTAGGGGGCAGTAATTGCGTCTGGGGTGGGCTGATACCTTCTTACTCTAACATTTTGTAATTTAGGACACAGCAATGAAAACATTTTTTTTTTATTCTTAAACTTAACAGACATGTCCTTGGGATTCATGTGCGTAAACTAAGAGACTAGCTATCGTAAAAAAAAAAACTAAACCAGTGGTTTTCAAAGTAAAGGCCGCTAGGGGGTGCTAGATTTCAGAAAATTCGAGTAAGCTATAAAAAAAAAAGCAATTTTATGTGAGAACTGCAACATCGGCATGACGACGTCATATTCTGTATAGACCTGGTGGTTTGCGTCTATTATTATGCTAACGTACTCCTTAAGCTATCGTGTAGCTAGCTAGCATGTGTTTTTTAATAATTTCTTATGCTAAACAAATGTAGCAGTAAAAGTAGGAAAATACATAAATCATTGAGTGTGTGGGTGAAAAATATTGTTGTTGTCGTGTCAATGATTCAGACAGAGTTTTTCCTCTTTAATAGATTTTATTGATGTCTTTTTTTTCTTCTTCTTTTTAACATCTTCGCGATTCTATTAAAGTGCTTATACTCAACGCCCTACAGCAGAGATTGGTCATGTTCAGAAGTCACTGGTCACAGACAGTACACAGAATCACCCTAAGTATTATTTACGAAATTGTGCCATTAACATATACTTCAATATATATATATATATATATATATTTATATATATGGTCCCTATTTACCATAAATATTTGTTAAACACAACATCTTATCATATACACATCCATTTACAATGGAAGAAAGAAAGGTGGCACATTGTGCAAAGACAGAGACGCTGAGCTCCTGTCACACCGAGAATACGAGAATACATATTTATAACAACAAATATACTACAATACAAACAAAAGGATTTGGAAAACAACATCAATCCTTTTTGGGTACATTCTCACTTTCTTTGTGCTTGTTAACGTTAGGAACATTTATAGCTATATATATATATATATATATATAGACTTAACTATTAATCTCATTAGGAGGCCAGTCATTCATCTCAAAACATTCAGACCAAAAACAGACCAACTATCACAAAAAAAAAAAAAAAAATCGCAATAATCGTTCACAAATAGCTATACTTTAAGTAGTCTATACGAAAGGACAATGGATCGATCTGTTTTCCCATTCTCTTTCTTTGGCTGACGGAATACCCCCGAGGAATAGTCTTGACTCTCTGTGATTGACATTTACAAATGTATTACCACGTAATACGATTAAAAGATACACTTACGAAAAAATACCTGAATCTGCCTGAAACATCGCCAAATGCACAACGCATACCGCGTTTGTTCTCGTACTACTTTATAATGAAGTGTCATCTCACGCCAGAAAACTCCAACTGAAATCAGAGCTTTTCCGATTTGATATGGTTACGGATCCATCGCTTGAATGTCGGGACGGTTGATTACGATTCAAATTGGCCACGTTTTACTGTACATTTTTAAAATACATTTCAAAATCATATTTACTCTATCTGTATAGATTTCAGTACCTACTGTATTTGTACTCGTACTATTTGTATTTTTCTTAATATGATTTAGGTCCACACTTGGTAAACATGAAGGTCATTGCACTAACATTAAAACTATATATATATATATATATTTATATATCATAAATCTATGTACACACTACGTACACGACAGCTAAAATCACCACTTGTGTCCGACAAATGAATGACACCACGGAATGATTGAAGATATTGTAATATTTTTTTTTTTTTACCTATAATTTCTTTCCCCTCTTCAAACAGAATTTTTTTTGGTTTCCGAGCTACTTTTAAAAATTTATATATATTTTCTTAAATTTTTTTTTATGTAAACTGAATACGTCTTACATTAGCGATTCCCTGTCATGTCAGTATATTTAAACTACAAGATCATTAGTGGTGGAATCACTGATTCTGATTAGAGACTATTCTTGTACCCTAAGACTGTATATAAGAAATGGAGGTTGCTGCGAAAATCCGACCGATCGCAACTGATTTTGTCACCGATAGAGACGCCCGACGCACAAGAAACTGCACGAGACGCCCAGGCGGTTGGCGTAACTCCAACACTGTCCTTCATTGACGAATGTTGACGAAAGTATTTTCCGGACGATAAGTCGCACCAGCCAGCTAGAGCGCCCTCTAGCAGCTATCAGTGTGAAAATAACATGTAACATGTACATTTTCAGTGATGCAGGAGTAGCAGGTACCGGTACACAAGCCTAGAGTGCCCTCTAGCGGCTGTCAGTGTGCGAAAATAACGAACATGTGAAATTGTATATTTTAATAGAACAATAAGTCACACCTGAGTATAAGTAGCAAACCCAGCCAAAGGATGAAAAAAAAGTGCGATATATAATCCGGAAATCACGGTACTTTTTTTTTTTTTTTGTGTGAACTACTTTCTACTATAATTACTGTTTTATTTTATTCTGTATTATTTCCACACATAAAGCGATAAAATGTTAAAAAAAAAAAAAAAAAAAAAGTTTCTAGGCCGAGGATGGATAACTGGATTTACATTGATTGCAATGGTTAAAAAGTGATTCGGAATCAAAGTACGAAAAGTATCACTGTGGTTATACTTGTAAAATATTAAGATTAGTTCAACACACACGGCACGAGCACAAACAGATCGAGGATGACGGCGGGCTAGATATACAAACAACTTTTAGTACGGGAGATGGTAGTTTTCTGAACGCTAGTGGAACGTTAGGTAGCCTTATTTTCCTTAAGAATCATATTATCACCGTCCGTTTCGAAACCACCGGAGCTCCTCTTTCTTTTGATATCAGATCCTGTATTTATTTTTATAGAGTGCGTCTTATTGGCTTATTGTTTTTTTTTTTTTTTTAAACTGGCAGTGAAAAGCTGACACCTACAGGTCATGACCCAACCTCTCAATCTCATCAATGAGGAAGTCGATGTCAGACAGTGTGACCGCAGGGTTGGAGACAACCATACGGAAGAAGTTCACTTTGTTGCCCTGGGGCTGGTAGCCCACCATGGTGGTCCCTGATTCCATCATCATGGCCTTGATTTTTGGTGCCACCTGGTGACACAAAGAATAAAAAAAAAAGAGTTGTTTGATTTACATGACCCACTCATACTAACTCTTTATTCTGTGGCCTGGACATTGACTGGAATGATTTAACCCTTTCATGCATGACGGTCACTACAGTGGACAGCTATGAGAATGTCATTTTCTATGATAAGAATAGGTTTTGATGGCAGTGTTGCATATAAGCCTCTACAGTGGACGCCTTAGAATCACCCAACACTGCCATACAGTGGTCAGCCTTTGCAACTGCACAATAATTGCGTCAACATTCAAAAAAGAAAATTTGGTGTATAAAACTAGAACCAAATCAGTTCTTATTTTTATGTCTAAAAACACATAAAAACACTTAGTAACATTTTTTTTTTACCTTATGTAGTTTTTCTCTTTTCTCTTCACTCTCTGGCATTCCTCTCAGACTGGGTGGTAAGAACCAGAAACAAACATTGGTGTGCTGAGGCTGCAGAGACAAATAGAACAAATAGAAGTTGTTACAGTACATAGCATCTGACATTTTGGTTTTTTTATGTACACCCCATTGGACAGCTAATTATATACACCCAATTAAATGATAGTCAGGCAAAAAAAATAAGTAATTAAGTTTGCAAAAAAAAAAACCAAACAACTAAAGTATGTTAGCATATAACAATTACTATTAAGTTAGCCTAACACCACAACTACGAAGTTAGCAAAAACCTGCAACTTTAATGTTAGCAAGAAACAAAATCGGTGCGATAGCCCTTAAAAGCGCTATATTATTAGCAAAAACAACTGCAACGATGTTAGCAAAACACAACTGCAAGGTAAGCAAAAACAACAGATATGAGCCAAATACCGCAACTACCAAGTTAACAAAAATAACTGTGAAGTTACGAAAAAACAACAACTATGAAGTTAGCTGAACATTGCTACCATGAAGTAAGCTAAATAGCACAACTATGAAATCAGTAACATTTGTGTTAGTTATCAAAAACATCAACATCAACTTTTGTCTCCTCACTGGCTCTTTTACCCTACGCAAAGAAACTTTGCAAATATGTTGGTTTTCTGTTCATTTTGCTAGCTTGGGGGTTTGAATTTATCGGTAATTTATTACGTGTTACCAGCCGGAGCCTATATTTTACATATTTTTTTTTACATTTTTGTTTAGTGGCAGCTGTGGGGAATTTTCAAATATAACATATATTTAGGAAAAAAAAGGTTGAAAATCAGTAGAATAGAACTCACCACTCCATCGAACACCATCTTATATCCTTCCCTGTTCTTGATCTTGTTGTACAGATACAGCGACAGGTCCAGGCATTTGTCAATGTGCTGCTCAAAACCAATGGTGCCCTGCGGTGTCAATAAACAACCCCATTAACACATGCTGAGTAAAGGGACATTTCATCCGCTGGAAAAAAACTTGTGTTACTGTGTCACTCCATCTGACCTTGGCCTTCCACATCAGCCAGAACTTAAAGATGTCCACATGTCGTCCACACTGAATGGCCTTGTCGCCGGTGTCGTACGTGACGTCGTACTGTTTGTCTGGTTGGAACAGGTAGCCGGCACACATGGAGTTGCAGCCCGCCAGGATTCCCTACAAATAAAGAAAACAAATGCCAGCTAATTATCCTTCTTGTCAAGCCGCTCGCCGCTCGCTGTACCACGCGTCGCCGCTATGTACGGGTACCTTTTCTCTGACCAGGATGGCAGAACACTGCAGAGGAACGCCCATCATTTTGTGTGGATTCCATGTGACGGAGTTGGCCCTGCAAGGATTATTAGTGTTAAATTTTGGGCACAATTTAGCATTAGCGCTAAGCGCGACTTTTCCACATAAAATATAAAACGACTACTTTTTTTTGTAGTTAATAAGGATGTCCGATAATATTGGCTGACGTTTTAGGGGATTGTATGCAGAATGCAGTAACTCATACAGTGGTGTGTACAGATAAATAAATAAATACTACCAGGCATATACTGGTATCGGTTGATATCGGAATTGGAATTTAATTGTTTGGACCATACCAGCGTATCGGATATAGGCAAAAAGTAAATATCGGACATTCCTGGTAGTTAACAATATATAATATAACAATACGGTGTAAAGAGCTAGTACGTATTTTTTCATCATTATTCCTAAATGAGCAAATTATTTTAAATAATTAAAAGAAATTAAAAAATAAACAAAATCATAAATGGTAAAATTAATCAATTTGGAGTTAGGGATCCACGTATTTTTTTTTTAGAATTTTTGCAATGCTTTGCAATTGCAAGATCGCGTCCGATTTTTTTTTTTTTCCCAGTAATGCTCTAAATAAGTGCAATGCCCTGGTGTCACAGGAAGCGGTAACATTTGGATTGTTACCACTCTCTTACCTCTCGACGCCACTGAGTTTATGACGATGTTTTCTCGACATCAAGAGTCCACCACCCCACGCTCCCTAAGGACACAGGACAGTTAAAGGTAAACAACAACCGCGCAATTCCTCATTTCAATACTACGGTGTCACCGACTTACGTCTACGTGCAGCCAAAGGTTGTACTTCTCGCAGATGTCAGCGATTTCATTGATGGGGTCAAATGCTCCGTACACAGTGGAACCAGCGGTGGCATTGACAAACAACGGCATGTAACCCTGAGGAATCACAACGCATAACAATTTAGAGGGACAACTTATTGGTGCAAATGTGGGGGGAAAAAAAAAAAAGAGGAAGATACAAAGATCTGGGATGCTAACCTTCTGTTTAGCATCAATGATTTTGGCCTCCAGATCTGCAGGAATGACCCTCCCCCTGACAAAGGCAAAACATGACATGTCCATTTTTTAATTTTCAACAAACAAAATATGAACAGACTGATCTATTTAATGTTTGTTTTTCGTCTTCTTTGGTTGAGTTGGTACTTTCTGCTTTCTTTCTTTGCTCCTCTGTGATGCTAAATTTGGACAGAGGAAACCATCTGTCATCAATATAAATGACCTATATGTTAAGCTTTGGTTGTTCCGGATTCAATTTTTGTGCAAAACTAAAGTTTGTTTCTATATGAAAAATTCGACATTACAGATCTAGAGAGAAGAAAAAAACATGAAGTCAATATTTCAATAAATATTAGACTTCGTCCCAAGTTCTAATTTGGGCCCACTGTGAATTTGAGTTTGACACCCCTAGAATCATATTGTGCAACATTTAGTCTATAGAAAACATATGTTCAGTTTATATGGCTACATACATTTAGAGTTTTCAATGTAGGTTTTGGGACCTGACTCTTCTTTACCTCTCATCTGTGCTCAGCAGGATCACGTTCTCAGTCCCAAATCCGAGAGCAGCTCCTGCCTTCTTAATCGAGTAGTGACTCTACGGGGGAAGAGGGACACACACAGCATAACCGTAATGCACTGGCCTTCAAATGAATACCTAAGTTCAAAGGAGAACATTGGCTATTCTCCACTACTGGCTGTCGAGAGCTCAATTTTTTTTATAGACCAAAGTAGATGAGACAAGAGCAAAATGAATGCGTTAGGAAAGTGTGTGTGTGTGTGTGTGATCACAGTCACGTACATGCTCAGATGTGAAGAGGACGAGCCGTGGAGCAACAGACATGCCTTTGGTCTTCACTTCCGGGTAATACTTGTACCGGGCAATCATCACGCTGTACATGTTGGAAATAGCACCCCCTGTGGAAGAGGGAGGTATCAGCACGAATGAGCAGAGATGGGGGTTGCAAATACACTCACTCAAGTCACTCACTTGTGACCTATTATATATATACCTTTACATTTACAGATCGAGTCGCACCAGCCGAAAAATGCATAATGGAATATAAGTCGCACAAGCCAAAAAATGCATAATGAAGACGAAAAAACATATATATATATATATGTTTTTTCTTCTTCATTATGCATTTTATGGCTGGTGCGACTTATATTTCCAGAGCGACTTATATATATATGTTTTTTCGTCTTCATTATGCATTTTTTGGCTTGTGCGACTTATATTCCATTATGCATTTTTTGGCTTGTGCGACTTATATTCCATTATGCATTTTTTGGCTGGTGCGACTTATATTTCGGAGCGACTTATATATATGTTTTTTCGTCTTCATTATGCATTTTATGGCTGGTGCGACTTATATTTCCAGAGCGACTTATATATATGTTTTTTCGTCTTCATTATGCGTTTTTTGGCTGGTGCGACTTATATATATGTTTTTTCGTCTTCATTATGCATTTTATGGCTGGTGCGACTTATATTTCGGAGCGACTTATATATTTTTTTTTTCTTCTTCATTATGCATTTTATGGCTGGTGCGACTTATATTCCGGAGCGACTTATATATTTTTTTTTTCTTCTTCATTATGCATTTTATGGCTGGTGCGACTTATATATATATGTTTTTTTCTTCTTTATTATGCACTTTTTGGCTGGTGCGACTTATATTCCGGAGCGACTTATATCTATATGTTTTTTCTTCTTCATTATGCATTTTATGGCTGGTGCGACTTATATATATGTTTTTTCGTCTTCATTATGCATTTTTTGGCTGGGGCGCCTTATATTCCGGAGCGACTTACATATATATATGTTTTTTCGTCTTCATTATGCGTTTTTTGGCTGGTGCGCCTTATATTCCGGAGCGACTTACATATATATATGTTTTTTTCTTCTTTTTTATGCACTTTTTGGCTGGGGCGACTTATATTCCGGAGCGACTTACATATATATATGTTTTTTTCTTCTTTTTTATGCACTTTTTGGCTGGGGCGACTTATATTCCGGAGCGACTTATATTTTTATGTTTTTTCTTCTTCATTATGCATTTTTTGGCTGGGGCGCCTTATATTCCGGAGCGACTTACATATATATATGTTTTTTTCTTCTTTATTATGCACTTTTTGGCTGGTGCGACTTATATTTCCAGAGCGACTTATATATATGTTTTTTCTTCTTTTCATTATGCATTTTTTGGCTGCTGCGACTTATATTTCGGAGCGACTTATATATATATATGTTTTTTCGTCTTCATTATGCGTTTTTTGGCTGGTGCGACTTATATATATGTTTTTTCGTCTTCATTATGCATTTTTTGGCTTGTGCGACTTATATTCCATTATGCATTTTTTGGCTGGTGCGATTTATATTCCGGAGCGACTTATATCTATATGTTTTTTCTTCTTTTCATTATGCATTTTTTGGCTTGTGCGACTTATATTCCATTATGCATTTTTTGGCTTGTGCGACTTATATTCCATTATGCATTTTTTGGCTTGTGCGACTTATATTCCATTATGCATTTTTTGGCTTGTGCGACTTATATTCCATTATGCATTTTTTGGCGGGTGCGACTTATATTGCGGAGCGACATATATATATATATATAAGTCGCACCAGCCATAAAATGCATAATGAAGAAGAAAAAAAAAATATATAAGTCGCTCCGAAATATAAGTCGCACCAGCCAAAAAGTGCATAATAAAGAAGAAAAAAACATATATATATATATATATGTCGCTCCGCAATATAAGTCGCACCAGCCAAAAAATGCATAATGAAGAAGAAAAAACATATATATAAGTCGCTCCGAAATATAAGTCGCACCAGCCATAAAATGCATAATGAAGACGAAAAAACATATATATATAAGTCGCTCTGGAAATATAAGTCGCACCAGCCGAAGGATGAAAAAGTTGTGCAACATACGGGAGTAGCAGATACTGCTACACAAGCCTAGAGCGCCCTCTAGCGGCTGGATAAAAAAAAAGTGTGACTTATAGTCAGAGAGGGTTTAATCAACACTTAGTTATCAAACCACTGTATTTCTGGTGTTATTACCAAACTAACCTGGTGAAAACAGTCCATCTCCTTCTCCTCCGGGCCAACCAATCATCTCTCTCATCTTCTTCAGAGTCAGCTGCTCCATCAACACAAAGACCGGCGCAATCTCATAGGTAAACCTGTGAATCGCAGTGTTACTGTGTATCAGTGCTGGTTTAGTGACTGAAAATCCATCCATTGCAAAAATGACTCAGTTCGACATTTAGAGTCGGTATCTGTCGGATATTGGTCAAAATGTCAGGATCGGACATTGAAAAAAAAAAAAAAACGAGGCACTACATTACATGGTATTTATAGAGACTTTTTCAAGTAATCCCTAACTACTAGTGGCTGTGATATCTGTAAGAATAAGTCTAATGGTCAGAACCTCGTTTTTTTTTTTTTAATATTATAAAAAAAATGTAATATGTTTGTTTAGCACAAGCCTTGCAGTACACGGCACACGATGGTTTTGGTCATTAGGTCTGCTGTAATTCTATCTGCAGAGCGTAAACTGGAGCTTGTGCCGACCGCTCTAATTAAAAAGGTGTCTGATAGGAGTTAGGCGGCAAACATTCATATTTAAATGGCTCCTAAAATCACTTAGACGTTTAATTAAATCACACAAAGCTCTGATAGCTATCTGTCCGGGGCTGCCGATCTCGACGGTGTATCTAATGGGAAGGTCGGAGC